ATCAGTGACTCTCGGAAGGTGGATATCAAAATGGTATTTTGAAACGAGAAATAACTGTTCCGAAAAACGGAACTGTTAGAATAAGCGCCAGGTATGCTGATACATTAACTTATTGGACTTATATTTCTACATTGTTTTTAACATATATACTCATGTGAAAACTGAAAACAAATTTAAAAAAAGTCGTTTTGAGAAAAACGTGTTTTTTCGTTCATCTTTTTATTCAGTAAAGTGTGCATTTCTGCATGGGAAAAAACTTTTTGAAAAGCGCAATGCGTGGTTTTGTTCGTCTTCAAATGGTGATTCGAATGGCGTGTGACGATCGGAGAAAAGTTTCAAAACCAGGGAGGAGATAGGTTTGCGAGAGAGGCACCTCATTTTGTTGAGTGCTTACTCTTGCTAAAATTGTGCAACACAGGTATTTTGTTTTTTGTGACTCAAAGGTACACGATTGGGCTCAGTTTTTGATGGGGAATCTGAATATATCAAGTTCGAAAACATACAGTGAACGGAAGAGGGCAAAATTTCAATTTTTCTCCGAGTGATGCAAATTTTTTGTTTTCTCGGTGCTCTTAGTATTTTTAGAATTTCTCCGCCAAAACTTGATCGAATTCGAAAAACAAGGTGATATTCGGAATCAGCGTAGCCAGGAGTATCTGGATATGTAGCTTTCGACCAAAAGCTAAGATAGTGCTGCATTTTTGAACTGCGGGCACCTTACATCTTTCAATAGTTCAAGTTCTTAGAAACATGCAAGCTTTGTTACTCCTGGCCGAAAACGTTCTGGTTCATTCGCCTCTAATGCATTTCAAAACAATACAGGTCTCATGTCGTTATAAGAAGCAAGAAATAATGAATGACTGTTAGTAGGGTCTGTGCAAAAGTAATAGCATTGACGCAAAGGTAAGCCCGTAATGGACGCTCCTGCCGTGGCACCAAAACTTTCTTTCCACCAAGGCACTTCAAAACCTAGCAATAATTTGAATGCCGGTTCGATAATAACTGCGGTCATATTATTTTCCAGTTTACGATTCTCATTAGGATTAAAAAGAAATTATCTTGGTCGAGTAGCTCAAGTGAACGTCTCGGCATAGCTAAAATGATTGAATTAGCATATACAAATCAATATGTGCCAGTTTCTACGTTATAAAATGTAAGTACATAACGATATCCTTTATGTCTAGTTGTTCTAGCGAAATGCATATGCCTCTTGAACAACTTGATCCTTGATCAAATTCCAGAGTCCCATGTTGTTAACCTTCTGGTTTTTATATGGTCCTGGAAAGTTATAAATTAAGCGTGGTTTGATTACATCCCAATCTTGAAATGTCAGCAAAAAGTTATAATTGTATAATGAAGGATTATTTACTTTGTCCTTATAGTTGCGCATGAACCATGGATCGGCTGTGAGTACAACATAGAGAATTTTATTGAACAGGTGACTGTTCGTAACCTACCAGATTTTACGAAGAAAATAATTTGTTACAAGTGTTTTGTTTCCGGCTTTTGTCGAATAAAAAAATTTTTATGATCTCACAGGAGGAGCAGCATGGTAAAATGCTGACAAGTGATGACATGAGGTGGTGGAAGCGCTCAGAACTATAAGAATTTGCCACCATAATATGCGACCCGTCTCTAAGCAAATACCCTTCTGCTTCTCTCTACCCATGTTCTTTATTTTATCTGTATAATCTTCTATCGTCCATAAACTTTTCTTTTGTAGTACAGTCATTACTTTTGCTCATTTAGATGGATAAACTTCTTTTTTTGCATTTGTTTTTATCAGATCAACAGATTTTCTGCTTGAAATTGATTAAACGTTCTCTTTTTATCCAACCTTTTCATATATTCGATGCATTCACTTTTATTAAATGGTTTCATTTCTAAATTTGATTCGTTGCCAAACTCAAACTCATCTTCGAAATTATTATTTTTAGTTGTTATAACTGTTTGAACATTAGTTGGTAAATTTATTATTAATTCATTATTATCATCAGCACATTTTGCATTATCAAATATAAATAATATTTCCAGTCTACTGTTTACCAAATTAATAATAATTTGTCTTTCATTTATATCATTTCTAAGCTCTTTTGTTACCATATTTTTGTAATCATTCCAAACTAAATCTCTTGATTCAGCATTGAACCAACGAACTATTTTATTATTTTCAACCTTTTCATTATGTCCGTATTTTGATCCAAGTGTTGTCTTATTGGAACCTAATGATAACAAACATATTTATTTAATTTTGAAAAAATTTCGTCTGTTTTCTTGAATACTGTTTCTTTTTGTATAAAACTTTTATGCTTTCATTCGGTATATTGGTTGATAATCGTCTTAATACTTTATCTTCTCTCAACTCCGAAATATCTTTCTTTAAATTATCAAATTTAACGTCTAACTTATCATATTTATTCTCGATATTTTCGTTTGTTTCGGAAATGGTTTTTAAACATTTATGTTGGTTTTTAAGTTGATCGTCTTGTCCTTGTTTTAATCTATCAGCTGTATTTCCTATATTCTTGCTTGAATATGTAATGACTCTTTTTATGTTATTTTGACCTTGCTCTAAATTTTTATTTTTGACTTTTAAGTTCAGTTATGTTTAAACTTATCTCATCTAGTTTTGATATCATCGACTTTATTACTTCTTTATTCTCAATTATTTTATTTAGTTTTTTTCTAATTTCATCATTGTCTTTTGAATTTCTTAAAACATCATAAAAAGTTTGAATTTCTTGTTTAATTTCATTTTTGTTATCAATGTTTAATTCTTCGATCTGTTTATCTCTTTAATCAAGTCTTTCTTATGTGCCATTATCAAATCAGTTATTTCTTCTCTATACTTTTTAAATCTTTCTTTATCACTATCGGATGATGATAATACAAAATCGATTTCCTTTTCATAATATTGTTTCATATTTTGATCATCCCATAGGTCAATAATTATTTGTTTTATTTTAATTATTTCTAATAATCATAATCAGGATCATTCAGTTTTAATGCAACTAAATGACCAAAATTTGTATTACGTATTAAACGTAATCGATTAAAATGAGCAGCTAATGAATGATCATTTGGGTCCATTGAACTAAAATGTTCATCCCAACAACGATTCTTCGATATCTCTCGAGTTAAACATTGTAATATGCCATAACAAGATGATAAATCAAATTCATTTAAATTATCTGGTATAAATAAATTATTTATTAGATGTGGATAAGAAGAGTTTATATCGAATATTTTCTTCTTAACATCTGTTAAATGACGATCATTTACTATTCCATGTATTCGATTTGAAAAGAAATTAAAAACATTTTCATTCATCCCAAATTTCTGTCATTTATGAGCTGATAACGCATAACTTGTGTGCCATAATCAATTATTATTATAGATATTTTAATCGTATTTTCTTGTTCTTTGGACGTTTTTGTTTTTCTGCTTACTTTAATTTTTTTCATAAACTTTTAAACATAAATGTAAATAAATCAAATGTTATACTTACGTTTATGACAGTTGCTGTTATATATTAATTTATCATTTTAATATAAAAAATAAGAATAAAGAGGACGAGAGAGGAAGCTAAAAGAAAGAAATCCGTTCTACTTTTCTATAGTCATAGAGTGGAACTATTCTTCTTGAATCAGTCTATGGAATAAGGGCTGGTTATCTTTTCCACATACTGCGCCAACTCTAAGGTATCTTCCTCTGTATAGACTCAGTTAGATAAAGCGACTAAGATCTCAAAATACAGATGCACAGAAGTGAGAAAGTGCATTCAAAGATTGATGTCTTCACAAATGTGAGTATTCTCGGTGTGAGATCGCTTTGCCGTTAATGGCTTCCAAGATGTAGTGAGGATCAGTTCGGTCGTGTTTGATGCACACAGCATTGGGACTCAGCCATTCCGCCTCATTCACAGGATGCTATGACTCTGGCAATGAACTGATCCACGGGTATACCTTTTTTGAAAGTCCAAGCGCACAGTGCGCATCCAGGTGGACATTCGGGGAAATTTCGAACGCGAGTTTTTCGGTGATTTGAATAGTGTTTTATATACAGTTCAATGTGCTCTATTTAACGGTAAAAGAAGTTTTGTCACGTTGTTGTGTGATTATAAGATCGAAAAAATCGAAAAAGCATATTTGTGTTAATGGGTTTTCCAGAAATCCTATTGGAAAGTCTTAGGGTTTTATAAACTTTCTTTTAAGATCTTCTATAAATAAGATACAGAATAGCTTAAATCGACCATATGCTGAAGGTCTGAACTTGTTTTGATGTTTATTGAGGGAACATAGTTGCTTAGTTGAAAGAGAACAAAAGGAATTTTTTTTCTTGTGACTCAATTCTAAGCACAACTGTTCTATGAAATACAATACAACTATAAATTTTTGATTCATTAGCTCCAAAATACCTGCTGGGTATCCCTGCCAACAATGTCTAGCCTGAACGTCGGCCGTTCGACAGTCACGATCGAGGCTACTTGTTGAGACACATCGATTTCTTCAGTAAAATATGTGGAGAAACACCGATTTCTTCAGGCAGAAACATGAAGTTCTTGTGGAGAAACACCGATGTCTTTGAGGGCTGGGCGAATTTCTTAGATTCGAAAATAATCCCTTGTCCTACTATTCTACTATTCTAAGTTAGAAAATATTTTACACTTCAACGCATTAATTATGCATTGGATGTGCATTACATCCGTTAATTATGCATTAAATGTGAATTACATGCATTAATTATGCACTACTCCTCATACTGTCTACTATCTATCAGTCAACATTTATCCAGAATAGTAGAATAGCAGAACAGTAGAATACTAAAATAACAGAATACTAGAATAGTACCTAGAATAGGAGAATAGCAATTACGAAGCTTCTAAGGAGAAATATAACTGCTGCTGGACTTTTTCTAGGCAGGTCGCTCGGAAATTAGCCGCTGAAGATCCACTTCGACTCATTGAATAGAGAAACTCTGACTTTACAGCGTATGTGGTATGCAACAAAATCTTCAGACATATGACGTACTGCCGTGCTCGCTGAATTAGGAAAGTTTTATTGGAAAATTTTTACGTTGGGCTAGTACAATGGCTGCACTCATTTTTCTGCATGACTTTTGGTCAAGAAGAGCGATCTTGCTGCGATGGGACATTTTCTCCTAAGGGAAAAAACTTTTAAAAGAAGTTAAAAGAGAAATTGAAATAAATGTGTATCAGATGTCTGAAGAAGAGTTAGTAATTGTTATGTAC